AACATCCAGAACACTAACAACATCAAATATGGGTGAGGATGTGGGGCAACCGGAGGGAATGCGAAATGGTGCAGCCACTTTAGAAGATAGTTTGGCAGTTTCTTACAAAACTAAACATACTCTTACAACCAACTGTGCTCCTTGGCATTAAATCAAAGGAGTTGAAATTTTATATCCATACAAAAACCTGCACACAGATGTTTACAGCGGCTGTATTCATAATTGCCAAAACTTGGGAGCAACCAAGATGTCCTTCAGTAGGTGAATGAATAAATAAACTGTGCTACCACCATATGATGGAATATTATTCAGCACTAAAAAGAAATCAGCTATCAAGCCATGAAAAGACATGGAGGAAACTTAAGTGTGTATTACTAAGTGAAAGGAGCCAATCAGAGGAGGCCACATACTGTACAATCCAACTATCTGACATTCTGGAAAAGGCAAAAACTAGGAGGCAGTAAAAAGAGCAGTGGTTGCCAGGGGTTGAGGAGACAGGAACGATGAATTGGAGCAGACAATTTCAGGGCAGTGAAGCTACTCTGCATGATACTGCAATGGTGGATACATGTTACTCTCCATTGTCCAAACCCACAGAATGTACAAACACCAAAAGTGAACGTACTAATGTACACTATGGACTCTGGATGATGATGTGTCCATGAAGGTTCATCAGTTGTAACAAATGCACCACTGGGGGGGTGGGGGGGGTGCTGATAGTGGGAATTTCCCACACCATATGTGTATGGGAAATCTCCGTACCTTCCCCTCAATTTTGCTCATACTGCTCCAAAAGTGTGAAAGTGAATAAAGAAAAACCTCATTAAAATCAGGGTCAGGAAGGCCTTAAGGGTAAGGTCTCATGAACTCTACTCACTGCCTTTTACAGACTCCGGCAGGAAGCAGCTTATTTTATGTGCTCCAGCAGGCAGAAGAAAGATTTTCTCTTTGCCCAGCAACAGCCCAGTCAATAAGAAATCACCACACTCAGCCCATGAGAAGCTATCACCACCCAGAATGCTTGCTCTCCTCTAATAAACCTCTGTTTGAAACAACCCGTCACAACTCCCTCCTTTCCTCTACAAAAGCAGCTCCTCTCTCTGGACTTGCCTATGGTTTCACCATGGTTTGCATATCCCCAGTTGCAATTTCTCTGCTATTCTCAAATAAACTCATTTTGCTGGTAAAATAACTGGCTATTTTATTTTTAAGGTTGACATAAGTAAAGTCTAGTTTATAAAAAAAAGAAAAGCTACTCCTGAGAGAAGGTGCTGCATCCAGGACACAAGAACAGAGTGCTCTGAGAAATGACTCAAGGATGGAAAATCAGAAGTGTGAGAGTTAAAGTGAAAAATACCAGAGAGAAAGAGGATGAAGAGAAAACAGGAGATAGGGAGCTAACACAGAGAAAGCAGAAAGGCACACAGGCCTCCAGGGAGGAAGGCAGACCAGTGCTGCCTTCTTCCCAGAGATCAGACATAGGTATCCGGCCGACAGCAACCAGGTGGGTAAGGAGCACATAAATTAACCCCATGAACTAACCAAAGGGGTTAGGCCAGAAAAGAGGCATCAGGCTGAACAGGAGAGTGGACTCTGGCCCCAAAGCCTCACACCACAGATGAGAACTGGGAGATGCCACTACCTCTGCGGTGTCTTTGGTAGAATCCCACCCCTCCCTACACAGAACTTTTTGCTGGAATCTCAAGACTGGAAACTAGGGTCAGGAGGCATCATCACAGTGGTTGCCAATTCCCTTAACACACTGAAGAGCGAGTGGCACTGTGATATCCCATTCTCAGAGTTAGGTGGGAGAGAAAAATCAACTTTTCTCCAGGTCAAATCAGGGCACAGGCAATGTCTGGAAAAACATGTCAAGTGTGTGCAGCTAGGCAATGATGTTCCAGGCCACAGAGAAAGTATGAAGAGAGAAAAACCAAGAAACAAAAAGAAACTGCTTTACACTGTAGATCAACGTATAAGAATATAAACTCATTAACAAGAACACAAAGGCAAAAAGATGTAAAGGCAGACTGCAGACACAACAAGGAAATTTGGAGATCCAAACAACATCATTACAACGCTGATAAATTAAAAAGAGTAATGACCAAAATAGGTGCTACTAAAAATTACTGAGAGAGGGCTCAAGATAATTTAGAAAATGCAGGTTCTAAGAAAGAAATTAAAGCAACTAGAGGAATGTAATAAGATATGTGACACAAAGAAGATGGCATCTCTGAAACGGAACACAGCAGGAGTTGCAAATGTTTTCTGTAGGGGGCCAGATAGTAGACAATTTGGGCTTGGGCCACAGGGTATCTATCACAAATCTGCTACTGGACAGAGGGCATAGTAGCCCCTGACAGTTTGCAAACAAGTGGGCATGGCAGCGTCAGCGTCCACTAATATAGGAAAACAGGCGATGATTGCCTGAAGGTCATACCTTACTGCCACAGGACCCACCAAGCTTCTGGCAATAACACAGAAAAGACTCAAAATAATCATCAGATGAAGAGACCCTACAAGCTTTCAGGGCCCCAAAACAAAAAGGCACAAAGCTTCTCAACAGAAATACCAGCTGAAGACAACAGGCAATGGTTTCACAATTCTCAGTGACAATTTTCTACCTGGAGTTTTATTCCAGTCAAGCAATCAGGTAAGACCACTTGCTGAGCTACAGGATCCAAGTCCACCTGAAGTATCCCACCTCTCAACAAGCTACTATAGAACGAGCTCCTCTGCGGGAGTCAACAGTTGGGATGCAGAAGCATACACACAGGAGGGGAACATGGGAGTTCCCAGGGCGGGGTAGCCTAGAGGAGAGGCCCAGCACGATTCCCAACACACAGGAGTTGCACTAGTGCCCCATGGCCATGTAGGTCATGATAATATCAACACACAGTGATGTAAAACATCAAACACGGATATCATTGGATATAGAAAGATTGGGGAGGGCATGCGGGGGACGCCGCAGAGCTCGGAAAGTCGTGGCACAAGCGGGCCACGCAGAAGCCGCTCCCTGCAGTCGTGGCTGCCTTTTCCGTGCAATGAAGACAGGGCGACCAGGGCAAGACCAGGTGTAACGGCGCCCAGCTACTGCTATTATCGCTATCACCACCATCACGGAAGCGACTCGCCGGCCAGTCCCTGAGTGCCCTTCCCGCCCACCTACGGGAGCCCTGCCCGACAGCCCTCCTCCAGGGTACCCTCCCATCCTCAGGTGTCCTCCCCCTGGATAACCGCTCCTCTCGCTTGCGTGGCCCCCTTCCCCCTGACTCGCCATCTTCCCCCTAGGTGCCCCCTCTCCTGGCTCCCCTTCTCCCCGCAACCAGCTCTCACCCGTAGAGAATGACGTCATACAGCGTGCGTCCCTGGACGTTGAGAAAGTGGGCGTACCCTGCACGCGAGGGGTGCGAGGCCGCACCGTCCGCAGGACCCGGAAGCGGCAGGTCATTGGTCAGCAGCCCCAGGAGGAAAGCGGCGGAGTCCGGCCCGCGCACGCGCAACAGGGCGCGCTCGCCCAGCGGGAAGCAGGCCCACGCCGCGCCGTCAGCGGGGTGGCTGCCGTGACCGCCAGAGCCGTGCGCCAGGCGGTGCCTTGAGACGGCACGCAGCCGCCAGCGCCAGGCAGGGCCGCCACACCCCGGTGCCGCGCCCCGGAACAGCGCCGCGGCCGCCATCTTGGGCACGAGTGAGGCGGTGAGAAGGAGCGGGTCGATGGCTGTAGGGTGCCGCAGCGCCTCCTAGCGGCTGGCGGAACACGTGCGGAGACGTGGATGGGGCGGAGCCTCAGGCTCTTCTTGGGCCCTACGCCCCGCCCCACCCGTTGGGGTTGGAGCCTGCTCCAGGCTCTGGGCGCGCCAGCCCTGGCCTGCCGGTGAATTTTCAGAGCAGTTTCTGCGTGTTCATTGCAGCCTCCGCGCTTTTCAGATGCACAGTTCACGAGCATTAAGCGCATCCCCACTGTCGTACAGCCATGCCCACCATCCAGCGCTTTCTCATCTTCCCACATTGAAACCCCATACCCGTCAAATTCGAGTCCCCCTCCTCTCCTCAACCCCTGGCACCCCCCCTACCCCACTCCACTCCGTCTCTGAGAACCTGATTTCTCTGGGGACTCATATGAGAGGAATAATGTGGTATTATCCTTTTGTGGTTGCTGCTGCCACTGTGAATGATGTCCTCCAGGCTTATCGACGATGTGTCAGTATTTCCTTCCTTTTTAAGGCTGAATAACATCCCCTTACATTTTGTTTATCTAACTCGTTGATGGACACTTGGGTTGCTTCCACCTGTTGGCTGTTGTGAATGTGCTGCGTAGACATGGGTGTGCAGATATCTCTTTAAGACCCTGCTTTTGGCACTAAGGAAACCCACTCTTGTGTGTAGTTTACTCTCACTCCTTTCACTTATGACACTTGTGACCACCAAATGTGTATGTGGGTGTGTGTGTGTATGGGGCCTACACCTCAAGCAATTCTGCAACACCAGCTGGGTGTCCCATAATTTAAGTCAACCAGAGATAGCATAGAGCCCCCAGGTGAAGGACCTGTGCTTCTAATTCGAGGTTTCCACAACCCTGTTCTCAGGTCCATTAATTTGCTAGAACAGCTCACAAAACTCAGAAACATACACTTACTAGATTGCCAGCTTATTATAAAGAATGTAATTCAGAACACCCAGATGGAAGAAATGCATAGGGCAAGGTATGGGGAAAGGGCAGGGGGGCTTCCATGCTCTCTGTGCCCACCACTCTCCCCATAACTCCACGTGTCCACCAACCCAGAAGCTCTCCAAACCCCCTTACTTTTGGGTGTTTGTGGAGGCTTCATTACACAGACATGACTGATTAAATCACTGCTCACTGGTGATTGATTCAACCTCCAGCACCTCTTCCCTCCCTGGAGGTCAGGAGGTGGAAGTGAAAGTTACAACCATCTAATCACAGGTTGGTTTCCCTGGCAACCAGCCCATCCTTAGGGGCTTTCCAAAAGCCACTGCATTAATACAACAAAAGACACCTTTATAGTTCTCATCAAAAGAAATTCTAAAGGTTTTAGAAGCTCTGTACCAGGACTAGTACAAGACCAAGTATATATTTCTCATTATAAATCACAGTATCACAGGCATATACCCAAAGTGGAATTGCTGGGTCATATGGTAATTCTGTTTAATTTTGCTGGAAATCTCCATACTGTTTTCCTAAGTCACTCAGTCAGCTCAGGCTGCATAACAAACACCACAGGCTGGGTGGTTTAAACACAGACGATCATTTTCTCACAGTCCTAGAGGGAGCTGGACATCTAAGATCAGGATGCCATGAGGACAGGTTTCTGATAGGGCCTCTCTCTTCTTAGTGTGTAGATAGCCCTCTCTTACTTCAGGTGCCTCTTCTCATCAGGACACCAGTCCTGTGGGATCAGGGCCCCACCCTTATCACCTCATTTAACCTTAATCACTTCCTAAAAGCCCATCTCCAAATACAGTCACACTGGGGCATAGGGATTCCACAAGTGGATATTGGGGTACATAATTCAACCCTTAACACCAAGCGTGGTTTTGAACCCCTCTTCCCCGATTAGCTATCATCCTCAGTTGTTTGCTCCCCTTTCAGGAAAACTCCAAGAGTCTGTATCTTTTCCCTTAATCCACTGTCCCTGATACCCACACCTGGTCTACCCAGGAAACTGCAAGGTGGCAGATTGAAACTAGCCACAAGTGCCCACAACCCCTCCTGTGCTGTATTCATCTGCTTCCTGCCTCTACCATCTGGCTTGCCTGGGCTCCCTTGCTCACTGTCACTTCCACCCAAGTCCACTGGTCAGAGCCCTTCAGAGCAGAACCATGCTAGCCTCTAGTGTGAGGTCAGGGGTGTCCTTGGGAGCCTCTCCACCTCCATTCAACCTCACCATCTCAACCAGCTACATGATTTCATAGCTGTCTACAAGCCAACGGCTCCAAGTTATGCCTGCAGTCCAGGCGTTATCCTCAAATTCCAGACCCCATGGCCTCTTTGGCACTCCCCTGGCATGTTTGATATTCTGTGTGTGTACAAGCCTGATATGGAGGTCATATCAAGCCTGACCTCATCTGGAGTGGTGGAGAGACCCACCACGCCAGCACTCAGCAGCCCACCCTCCACTGGTCTCAGCATTGCCTGCACACCCCTTGCATAGATGACGTCCCCACCTGTCACCTGGACTCCCCCGCAGAGCTCACATCCCCATACTCCCCTCCAGGCTGATCAGAGTCAGCTCGGCCCCATCTCCAGCCTCCCACCCCTGTTCCCTCCCCCAGCAGAGCCCCCAAGAGCACACGACTTGCCCATACCTCAAGACTAGGCCCAGATGTCACCTCCCAACAAAGCTGCTCTGACCATCTATGGATTCGCTTCTCCAACTTTCTATTTGAAATTTTTAACCTAAAGAAATTGTGAAAGAATAATAAAATAAACTGTACCACCCTTCACTTAGATTCACCAATTTTCAACATTTTGCCCTGGCTGCCTGCTGTCTCCTTGCTGGTCTTCTGCTCATGCAGCTCCCACTTTAGGGCTGGCCCCTCCTCAGGACTGTGCTGCCCAAACCCTGCGAGTCCTGATTTCCCAGCTGGGCCAACTGCGTAGTGAAGGGCACAACCAGCCTGTCCAGAGCCCCCAGGCCCTCAGTCCCCCACCCAGCTGGCTTCCTGGCTGTGACCACCCAGGCCTGGTATGTGGCCCCCCTGGCCACTGGCCCTTTGTGGAGGAGGTCTTCCTCTGCTGCCGGGCATACCAAAGGTGACCCAGCACCTCCCTGGCAGCCCCTGAGGACAACATGAGGTGGAGCACGTTCCTCCAGCCTCACGTCAGCCTGTATTCCAGCCAGCAGAGAAACCTGCTTCCCACTGGCCCTGCTGCAGGAAGGGCCAGCAGGCAACCTGGGGCCACTTGGAGCCTTCCTGACCTCCCAATCTGGGCTAAACCCAACCTGCTTCACCACCTGGGCTGTTTAATTGCAAATTAATTCAAATAGTGTCAAATGAACCTTCCAGGTCCTCCCCACTTGGCAATGCTGATGTGCTCAGAGACACATGTGGCTGGTGGCTGCCTCAGTGGAGGGAACAGACAGCACCTCCCACCATCCAGGAGTCTGCCAGCCAGCGCTGCTCCAGGGCCCCTCCTCCAGGAAGCCTTTCTGAGTCTCTGCAGCAAACTGTGCAGCCTGACGCTAGGGACCCTGGCACGTGAGCACCATCCAACTGCTGCCCCTTCTCAGTCCCCACAGTGCCCCTTCTCAGTCTCATGCCACAGCTGGTGGGGGGGGAACTGTGGCCTGGCCTCAGGAGGTTCCCAGGGAGCCCTACCTGGGCCAGGCGGGGGCTGGGGCTGGGGCCGGATGCAAATGTGCACTCTCCTGCCTCTGAGGCCACAGGACAGGAGTCATCAGGAGGGGTGGGACGCTCAGAGCTGGAAAATGGCGGGTGTGGGGTCTGACCCCACTTCCCAGATGCTGCTGAGCCAGGGGTGGTTTCCTGTAATTCTCTCCTCATGGCCTCCTCCCTTCCCAAAGGCAGGATAGGGAAGCTGCCCTGTTCTGGGGGTGTCAGAGTGCCCCCTCCCTGCAGCCCTCTGCAGTCTCTCTGAGCAGCTGGGGAGCTGGCTCCAGCCATGGAAACGGATGGGAATGAGACAAGGCCCTTCCATCTGATCCTGCTCCAGCTGCTCCCTGGGCTGGCCCTGCCCCAGCTTGGACCTGGGCAGGCCCCACGCAGCCCAGGGACCCCACCAGGCACTGAGACTTATCCTGCTGCCTGGTCCTGAGCCAGGCCAGAAAACAGAGATGGGCAGGGGGCACAGTTCTGTGCCCAGGTTCAGCCCTTCATCCTCATGGCCATCCCAGGTTGACAGAGAAACTGAGAGGGGGTCTTTGTTTTTTTAAGTAGCTAAGTGAGCACAAAGGGTCATGTTGAATGGTTGGACTGGACTCCACCTCTTGGAGTTAACAGACTTCGGCATCTCAGGCACCATGTCTGAATGGGAGATGGCCAACCATGTTAAGGTACTGATGCAGGCATGAGGTGGTGGTTGTGTCACAACATCAAGGAATTGGTCTTAGAGATGGGACCATGGATGACACAGAGGTTGGCTCCTTAGGCCTGGGACAGCCAGTGACAATAGAACCTAAGACACCACCATCAAAAGCTCACAAAACTGATAGGACCCAGGTGGTGCATGCAAGCCCCGAAGTTCTCGAGATAGGAGGCCTGTGCCTTGTCCCATGGTGATCGCAGTTTCAGTTGGGCATTACCTTAAGGTGGAGCCCTAATGCCCAGAACTTCAGATGGGGCTGTATTTGGAGATAGAGCCTTTATTTATTTTTTTACTTTTTTATATCTTTATTGATTTCAGAGAGAGGAAAGGAGAGAGAGAGAGAGATAGAAACATCAATGATGAGAGTCACTGATTGGCCGCCCCCTGCATGCCCCCAACTGGGGACCGAGCCTGCAACTCGGGCATGTGCCCAGATCAGGAACTGAACCCCGATTGCCTGGATCCTAGGTCGACGCTCAACCACTGAGCCACGCCAGGCTGGGCGAGATAGGGCCTTTAAAGGGGTAAAGTGAAGTGAAGTCACGGAGTGGGCCCTCATATTACTATAAGAGGAGGACATTAGGACACAGATGCTCAAAGAGGGACGGC